CCGCTGAAGAATATTTTTAATTACCATTTTTTTCTCTTTGTAAACGATAACGTTCTGTGGTTAACTTCCGGCAGTGCTTGGATGACTCGGAAGGTAACACACACGCACGCACACAGAAGGCAACACCAACACCTGAGCCTACAATCTGGCGCTCACTTGCAAAATAATTGAAGGCACAATAAGAAGCTTCGCTTATGACTGCAACAACGAATTAGTCGATTAATATATTAATTGAAATGAGTCTACTCCGTGGCGTAGAGCAAACCGTGCGATTTCGTGTGAGAAGTCTGTGAAAGTTGCAAGGCTGCAATCAAGCGCTTGTTGAATATATATTTGGAGAATTCGAGTATTAAGTAGAAAATTCGCTCCTATTTTAATGGTACTCTCTATTGTCGTAATACGGGCATGCAAATTCCTAGCGGGTTATATGTATATATGGTATCGGAAAAGTGCGAAGGCGTTTGAACTTAATCTTCTGTATTACTGATTACCAGGAGTTTAAGGTTGACTTTATTATTTTATTTTAATTATTATTTATTTTTGATTTTTACCTAATGTAGTTTTTGATTAGAAGTATTTTGCATATCATGATTATGTTAAATTTGATTTTGCATGGCAATTTATCACAATCGCTTTGATGTACATTTTTATTATTATTGTTGTTTTTATTATTATTTTTAATGCGTTTATTTTTATATTTATTTTTTTTTTGTTTTTGGTTTTATTATTATTTAATTGTTGCTGTTATCCTGCGAATAAATTTTTAGGTTAGTCGAGGGCGCAGATTTCGTCATTTGACTTTTGTAAGAACAGCTTCTGTATTATTCTTCCGTTCTTCTTTTCAGTTATCATAGGCAGTAAATTGGATTTCTACTGTGAATTTTATTATGCCTAGGTGTTTTGATACACAAAGATAGAAGAAAATTAGAGGGGCTTTTCTCTAAGAAAATCTGTACAGGAATATTATAAAGTTAGCACAGCAAGTATTTTCATTATTGTTGCCACTTATCGTCTTTCTCGGTTACTATTATTTTTACAATATTGATTTGTTATGTTTTGGGTTCGTTTATAACTGTAGCTATAGCGGTTGCCTTCGTCGTTTTAGCTGTTGCCAGAGGTGTAGTTTCTCGCGCAATTATGTTTTCACTTGAGTCTTTACTATAATTCATATTATTTTCAGCTGTGGTTGTTGTAACTGTCGACGATATGGTTGAAAAAGGAGCAATAAACGTTGTTGTAGTAGCAGCAGGAGTTTCATAGTCGTAGTTAACCTTCGTAAAATACACAATTGCATACATAAAGTAAATAAAAAGTACATGTTAAATCGAGTTAAAAAAAATATTTGCTACATAAAATAGTTTTCATAATTATTTTTCAATTATGACTACGGCAGTGTACTTGGCGATGGCATCAGTCGCCGCCCTACGTTTCTTCCCTTCCTGTTGTTGTACCTGTAGCCATCGTTACGTGACTTACTTATACAGATGTAGACATAATATATAGAGCTATATTTAAAGTACGTATTGTATTATATAAGCTTTGTAGGAAAGAACATAAAATATGTGATTTTTGAACTTTTGGGCGTTTAATGTCTAAAGTATGTGTATCTATATATGTATATATATACTTATTTAACTTATTTGAGTGTTAGCTGTCTAGTTAAAAAAAACTGCCGCACCCGGCTACAGGCTGAATTGCATGAAAAATTCATTTTTTAATCTGGCACACCAATTCACATGTTTATAGTATATTCTGTTCTGAATAAAATGGTCGAACAGCCGCCGGTTTCAAACAGTTTTTGTTGTAATATTTACAAAAAGATTTAATAAATATATTTACAGTTGCTTAACACTAAATACAGGTAAAATAAAAAATTTTATTAAATCAAACCAATATTCCTTGTTAGTTCGTTAGTTCCATATAAGAACCAGATTTTTTAACAAGATTTTTTTGTAAATGAAATTAAATGAAATTGCTTTATTTGCAGAATTTGTAGTAATTGAGAAAAATTCTTCGTAGTAGCTAACAAACATTAATCTGCTCCTTTAAAGCACTAATTTAAATCAACAGTGGTGGAAGATTTTCAGTCCACAATGTAATAAAAGTTTGTTGGGAGCTGCTTTAAGCTAGATAGACGCTAAGTAGCCCATTGGTGCCTTGATAGAGCCTTTCAACCTTATGTATTAAGGCTAACAGCAACTAACTAACGCAAACTTATTTTAAATACTAATTTAAGCAGAAATAGAAATACAGTCAGGGAGAAATCAAAGATAAGCTAAACAAACGAAAATATAGCTTTAAGCACGCACACATAAATATACCGAAAATCAAAATACAAACACATGTGAAAACTAGAAAAATAAGAATACGCACACACAAACATACGCTTGAAATATGTAGATAGAAAAGAAGTAAACTGTTAGAATTGAAAAGGCAGACGAAGAAGTATAGAGATAATCAAAGATACACAGAGAACGATAGAGGCAGACAAGGAAAAAATCGGTACAAAACTTATATAAATGACAGAATAGTAAATTAACACTGCCTTCATTTATTTACCACTCTTGACACCTTACCATAGTTTTTTTACGTGTTTAAGTTAAAGTCCTCATTTACAAAGCACATGCGTACGACGTCAGCGGAATGTTTTGATGAAGGAAAGATTCATGAACACACGGGAAGCTTATTCGTTATTAGTCCACCTACCACTTGCAAACCTCGAACAGAGTGGCAACAAAAAACCGATGTATATTGTTAGATGAAATGATATAATTACTAGTTTATGAAACTGATTCACCAAAAATCTCAGAGGAGACCGTGTCTTTAGTGAATGCACGTATAGGACGTTAGGAAATGGACACAGACAATTTTCAACCATCCTTTGCGCTGATGCGTAGACAGCTCATTGGTTATGTCGATGTTAAGGTAAATAAGTAAATTCACTTAACGAAAAAGTGCGTATCTTGCAACTTAAAAAGTACTTATTTTTAAACAGAGTCCGAACTTTATGAGCAGATGTTGGCAGCAGTGGAGGAGCTTGAAAGTTATGACAAAACGCTGCTGCCGATGATGGCGATGTAGATGGTGGATTGATGATGATAGAGAAATGAGAGGAGTGAAGATGGGTGGCTTGTGTTACTGCTGCACTGATAGATGCTGACGCGTTGGCTGATGTCTAGGATAATGTATGTGTTGATGTCAAAACGAAAATATATCTACCACAAAACAAGCTGTAAAAGGATACAAATGAATGACTGCGCTGAGTTAAAGAACGCGCTTACACTTTTCATTTGTAGGGCAACTCTATCGTAAAGTGTATGCAACTACGGTAAGTAAACAATGAAACAAAACGTAAATCATAAAACACAATTTATAAAATGCTAGGAAAATGTTAAAAATACAAAAGCAAAAGAACTTCAGTTAAAGATTGTAGAAAATGCATGAAGAGAGGTGTTGAAAATCTCTTAAACTCATAATTAGTAGCTTAGAAACGACGACAGGAAATATGTAGATCGATAAAGGAACACAATATTTTTCATATAAATTAAGAAGAATGCAATGAGCTTAAGAGAAAATAGAAGTATGATAATATTTCATGAGTTTTTTTCCACTTTGCTTTTCTGCAACTTAGTGATTAACTATTTTTTATGTTTTTGATGTTTTTCATTTTGTCCGTTGGTTTGACTAGTGCGGGTAGAAGAAAAGTATACGAAAGAACTTACAGTGAAAATGTTTCGTTAATATTTTTATCTGCGAAACATGAGTGATGCTGCTTATTATTCTTGTTTCGTTGAAATATGATAATCGTTTCATTTCGTCAAATAACGGGAGATAATTGACTGAATGAATGCAGTCAATTGCAATGGTTTGTTTGTTCCTTGGTATTTATTTTTCATTTGTATGTTCGCTCGCTCACTCGCTCGGAATTTGATTCAATTATTCCTAATATATTTTCTTTATATATTCTTCTTATTCGTTTCTACTTATGGTATTGTTTTCTTTTTTTTTTTTTTGTTTTGTTCTTTGTTCAAAGTCATAATTTTGTTGAAGTTTATTCTTTAACATGGAAAATGCATTTTTCACTTATTTTTGGTATAAATTTATGATTTTGTGAAAATCATATTACTCCTCAAACAAAATATTAAGGAGCTCGACTTGAAAATTGATTACTTTAAAAAACTGTTTATTTTTAAATTTAGTTGTTCAATTCAATTCGGGGTCAGAATCGAAGTCTGAGCAAATGCGGTAACCATAGTTGGACCTATCACAAAGAGGTGATACTATAATTTGAAAAAAAAAAACAGAGTTTCACTGAGTATTAACGGCTTTAACTTTTTGGTAGAATTTTCACAGAAATTTGCAAACGCTGACTTTTTACATTTTTAGAGCTGAACAAAATTATGCCTTTGATTCTCTTCAATAGGTAATGCTCAAGGCATTTTACTATAACTTAATAAATGCATGTTTATATGTTGAGATTGTCAACTTTTTATTAACATAACCTAACTTTTCCGTATCAAATTTGCATATTTGTTAAATAATTTGAAGAGGCATTTAATAGCTATATTGTGTACCTTATATTACCACTAATATACTTCCTGCTTTACTCTAATTAACACATTTCACTCTTGTAATAACGTTTTTACGTGTATATGGCATAATATAGCTGACATGTTAGCTTGCTCTCGTTAAACGTTATTAATGTGATTTGTGTATATTTATACATACATATTTTTATTATTTTCGTAGCAATGTATATCATTATTTATATTTTTTGCGCTCGGTTATTTTGCCAACAGCAAAATAGGTTTAATAGTTTAGTTTAGAATATATTATTATTATTATTTTTTTTTTTTTTTGTTTTGGATTTCGGTTGAGGTTATGAGATTTCGATTGATTTGTTCAATGTTTTGATAGAGAGCAAATCATACGCAATTCAAAAAAGAAAAAGAAGATTTTATGGATTAGTAAGTTTGTTAAGTTGAAATAGCGACACTCACCGATGATCTACTCACTTGCATGAACGCATAAACACCACGTAAAAACTCCATGTTAGGCTGCTGTTCTCTGGAACCCTTACTTGTGCGCTGCGCCCGACTGATATATTGCTTGACTGTATCGGCAACTATATGTGGCTTGAGTTTACGTGATAAACTGAAAATAAGAGAAACAATACCATATATTTATTTAGACTTTATTTGTGCGAAGCTATTCGTGTAACAAAGGTGATGTGTTATTTAGTCGGATTGAATAATACTATTATCAGCTAAATAAATACAAAATATATATACATTTAAAGTTGATGCCGTTGACTTCGAATTTCGTTGGTAAATTTGAATAATTTTAACACTTTGTTGGATCTTTCAATGATAAAATGTCAAACCTTACGGAAGAGAAATATTAAGAAAACGGGGGAAAAATGAGTAGTATTTTCAATCACATTTGATAGATGATGCGTGAGTCGTGTCAAGCTGTTATTTTATTTTTGATCAGTATTTTTTGGCATTTCATGATGGAGAGACTGATGTCAGAGCAATGTTTACAAATCGTTTATTTTATTACGAAAAGAATATGATTCGCGCGTTTCGATAAGTTTATGGTCAACATAACCTAGCTACTAAGGGAACTATTTGTAAAACCATCACCCAACTTGAAACCCAGCATTCATTATTGGATAATATTCGACCGAATAGATAATGCCCTACACGCAGCGAAAGAAATATTGGGTAGTCAAAAAAGCCTTTTCGTATTTTGTCATTAGATGTCGTTGCAGTCGTTTGTCTCCATTGCTACCAATCACATTGTGTCATACTATATAGTGTTGGAAGGGTGAGATTTTAAGCTTCATTTAGCAAAAAAAATTAAATTTTGCATTCGACTTGGCGCAGTTTACGTCGATATCTTAAAATGAAAGTGAACAGAACACAGCTTATGCAAGAACTAAAGCCGCTCGACCATTCCAAGGGAGTATCCGATGTTTTCCAGCCAATTTTGTGAAACGATGAAGCCCATTTCTACCTAAATTACGAGATTCAAGAGCTGTAGTTTTATGAAAAAAAAAAAAAAAAATTGATTTGTGGACCGGGGGAATCATCGTTCCATATTTGCCATGATGCCAGTAAGAACGTAGCCGTAAATGGCGACCGTTATCGCGCCATGGTAACCGACTATTTGTTGCCTGAAATTGAACCTCGTGATCTCGGCGTCATTTGCTTTCAACAAGACGGTGCGACTTCCCACACATCACGTCAATCAATCGGAAATCGGAAGATATCCATGCCCACTTCTCATATAATGGCTATATTAAAAATTAGTAAAAATGGGATAATTCACTACAGAAGCAGATCGGTTGCATTTAAAATTACATTAAAGATTGTATAAGAAATCATAAGGAAATATAAAAAATTGGGTTATAGGATTTTTAGTAAAATGTCATCCCCAAGGAATGTGTAATGTTATTCGAACATTTCTATTACAGTGAGAATTCCTTTGCAGTGTAATGATGTCACTTATAGGTAACGACCTAGGAACCTTTTAAATAAACCATAAACATTTTGAAAGGCCGTTTTTGACATGATTGTCTAACTCTTTACATGAGAGATGACGTGTTTACATAACTTATACATTTACTTCTAGTGGTCATGTGTGGGGCACACGTTTATTTAAAGTCCGCAGAGCGTGTAATGCATTTCACCTAATGTGCGTGAAAAAGCATAAGTATGAAATTAGCACCTGAATACAATTGTTTTCTTGCTGTGGCCGTTTTGCACCTCACATGAACAACGCTTAGAGATGTATTATTTACAAAAGGCGCAAAGGTGTGTCTGTTACTTAATGAAAACAAAGCGGTGCTTGCATACATATGTCTTTAACCGTATACGCTTACAGAACTTCTAACGGAAGCATTCATTAAAAGGATTTGTGTAAATGAGGGCCGCAAATTGTGGTAAAAGTTACAAAAGAGTAAACCACCAATTCAAATGACTTTTTCATGCACTTACATATATATACATGCGTTTGTAAATTTATGTATGCAATTAAATTAATGTATATACATACGTTGGTGAACACATATTTATGATACCCAAGGCAGAAGGCATAATTACCTCATTACTTGTGTGGAGTCTATGCGCATACAAGTGAGCGCATCTCATATATAGGAACACTACATTATGCTTATGTATATTTACCGTACATACAGTCAAATTTTTTAGACGGTTGACATTAGAAACATTTCTTGGACAAGTAGGGAAGGATTATGAATGGGTTCTAAAGTTAATGTATGAACTGATTTAAACCAATTTTGGCATCAAACTATATTATGCTAAAGAAAATTCAGTAACTGAAACTATATTCTCTCTACTGGTAATCGTGTCATATTAATTTTCCCTACTTCTTAATTTATCCATTTACTGGCACATACTTGATTACTTTATCTAAACTATCAGCTGGCGCTTTCTATTTCAGTCCAATAAACCCAATACATATTAATATATACTCATTCAACTTTATTATGATATCAAACAAATCGACCGATAAATTCCAAATACACCATTCTAGTCTCAGAAACTTTAAAATCTCATGAGGGAATATATCTCATACCTAGCAGTCTCTATAAATGTCATTTAGACATGTCTCTCACTAACCGATAAACCCCATAGTGTTGAGAGATATTTGAATCTGATATATATATTATAATTCCAACTGAAGGCTTAAAATGGTAGTTATACGGGCCCAAGAAGAAGTTTGCTTTTTATACATAGAATAGGGAAAATTAAAATTGCCACGAATTTTGTAATACTCAGAATGGAGCGTAATTTGGTAGATAATTAGACAGTTTCACCTTCATATTCTTAAACTCATTCTCGACTCGACAACTACGTTGTAAAACACCTCGACATCTTTTTTACGATAGATTTAGGCCTTTTAGTACGAGTCTAGCGTTGACACTTCATACCCACAGATGTTGAGGTCTTCTGCTATTTCTCTAATACCAACATGTTCATTAACTTTTGCGATTTTACCTTCATTAGCAAAGAGTATGAACAACACTCATGAGGCAAGCTTTTGATAACTTTTCAGCAGATGAATGTGGCATTAAATTGTTTGAATACAATAGAATTGGAAAAACACTTCTGTACTATTTTCAACGATTCTATATATAATATGTAGTTGATCCCATTCCAGCTCATTGTTTTTTGTTGTGGCAAAAATCGTCAGACAACTTATAGCGTTGTAAGCAAACAACTGCCATATACATTCTAATTCATCTGTTCTTATAAACGATTTTACAAACCCAGCGATAATTGATTATCGATTCAGTTTGTGGACCAGTCCTTTTCCAATTTAAAATTAAAAACTTCGCTATATTGGTCAGAACATAGTTGTAGTCCGATTTCGCCTCTTTTGAATCTTTATCATAAATATGGGAATCTTGAGAACCAAATTTAATTCAAGTATATGTAAAACATAACAGATAACCAAAATAGGTCGAAGTCGTGGAATAGTAATCTAATAGATAAGATAATATTGTAAAATAAGCAGTTTTTTAGTTAAATCTTCCTTAAGAATGGTTCATATACATATAATTTCAACAATAACACAAGTTAGGTATCCACACATTTATAAAGTTAAGTATAACGTTTATTATTTTGTAGCATGTTATACATAATAAGGCAATAGTATTTTCAGTATGGAAATAAATATATAAGAAACTTAACAGCAACCTCACCCATCTGTTAAAGTAGTTCTCCTTGCGACTGCGGCCTTTGAAAGGTTAATTTAAAATCCGTAGCCGCAAGTGTCAGAAAATTAAGAAGCATGCTTTTGCGGTTCCCCGCGCACAAAAAGCAACTTAAGGCAAAAAGTTTGACAAATGAAATGAAATGGAACTTTTTCGAAAATCATATTACATAACTGTGAAAGGCTTTTTGTTTACAACTGATATGTGACTGCTTACATCCTTAAAGACAAAATGTTAATTAATTTATTATTTATACTCATGTTTAAGCTGAATGTGGCTCAATGTCAACCTGCCTAAAATAATTTGTATTCCAATTATGGGAAGACAACGCACTTAGTAAGCATTCCAAGCATAAACAATCTAAAAAGGTGTAGGAAAGGTGTTATGACACGCAGGGTGGCACACTCTGTGAGTAATCGCACAACAAGAAAGAATTTATGGGAAATTAGAAACACTTCCCGGCGTCGGAACATAACGTGACACACAAGCGAAAATTCTCACTGAATACAATCACTGATTTGATTGAAATAAATGACATCAACTTGGTGAAAGGTGGGAATGAATGAGAAAACGGTATGCAAAGAACATGATGTCAGGAACGCACGCTTTTCGAACTCAGATATGTATAGCAACATTAGCTGCGTTTGAGTTTTAAATTTAGATGTAAAAGGCGAATGAGCAATAAGTAGATTGAAATAATTTTTGAGCTTTAATACGGATGGAAATACTTATTAAGAATCAAAATAATCAAATTCGAAAACTTAAAGACAGAATCTGCCTCGTCATTGCAGATACATAAATTAAAGTGTAACTATCTCTTTTTCGAGCGGGCTTATATCAATCCTTATACAGCTCTCGATCAAAATAGAAACTTCATTAGTAAAAGGATTTCATGCAAGGCAATATAAAGGCGGCAAACCTCATTTTTATGGCATTTAATAAATAAATACATGGGCACGAAAACATTTATCATAAGTTGCATGAGCCCTATGAATACTTAGGCAAATTCAAAGATGTGTATGTACAGCCCTTTTAATAAATTATGAAGTTATAAAGTGTTCTCCAACCACAAATTGACACGCGAAACCGTAAAATCCTTACTAAAAATATATGTGTAATCTAAGAACATAAGCATCCAGTGATACGCTGGTAAGTACCCTGCAGAGCCAAATAGCATGAAAATTTTAAATATTTTAACAGAAATTGAACTAGCCATAAATTAAAAAATTAAAAAAAAAATTTTTATTTTATTTGGGTTTTGAAGATGTACCAATAATTATCAGTAAGATTTAGTTCACGAAATTATAA